AATTTGTCCCTGAGACAGAAACGTATTACACACTAACACCAAACAATAAATTGTATTGCCTTAAAAAAAATTGGTTAAGACAGAACTAAAGTCATGGAATAGCATTGGCTGGTAAATAAAGAAATGTGGTAATGAGCTATGGATATGAAGGTAGTTGTGGAATGTTATTGCCATTAGTCAGTATAGGATTATGGTGTAGCAAAGATAAGACTTGGATAAGATTAGTTAGTGAAGTATCAGTGAGTAAAATAAAAGAAAGTGGTGTTGATGAAACTTAATTTATTCATTTGTTGTTTGCTTGTTATTTTCATTGAAAAAATCTTTTTTTATATGTTTAAAATCAGTAAAACAAGAATTTAATTAATAAATTATTTCAAATAAATAAAATACTCCCGAAATATACATTTAAATTATCTAAAATTATTTAAAAAAAAAAGAAAAAAGTGATGAAGTTTTAAGAAAATAAAAAAATAAAAAGAAAAGAAAGTGAAAAAAGAACTCACAACTTCAAAATCAAAATAAAGAATATGAGTCGTCCAACAAGTAAAACACCTGTCGAAATTAATGAAGATGATCAATTAAAAGAAGAAATTGAACTTCTTGTCAAACGTATTCAAGACTCAAACATTGAAATATCAACTAGTGCCATTGAGTTATTGCGTAAAACATTAAGGGGAGATAATACATCTTCTGCAACAACATTACCCAAAACAACAAAATTTATTCGACCATATTTAGATCAATTAAAACAATTTCATTCGCAATTAATAAATGGGGAATTAAGACAATCCCTTGCTGATGTACTGAGTGTTTTAGTAATGACTAATGGAGAAAAAGGAGAGTCATTAAAATATAAATTACTTGGTCATTTAGATGATTTAGGACAATGGGGACACGAATATACAAGAAACCTTACTGGTGAAGTTGTTGATGTTTGGCAACAACAAAAAGATTTACTTGTTCCTATTGCACAAAAATTGATTGAATTTCATATTGAACATAATGCAGAACAAGATGCTGTTGATTTTTGTATAGAAACAAATAATTTAGTAATGTTAGAACAATATAGTGAGAAAGCTCGATTTGATAAATTATTGTTATACGCATCATCATGTGCAGCTTATTATCCTGAACCACAAGACAAACAAATTTATCAATTTTTATTACATATTGCTATTAAGCAACATAAATATTCTGACGCTATTAGATTAATGCTTAAAGCAAATGACTTTGGAGGTTTAAATCAAGTTATTGAAGAAAACCAAAATAACAAAGCTAATTTAATGCAAATTGGATGTTTATTATCAAGAATAAGAGATGAAAATATTATTAATTTAATTCAAAATGAAACTGTTAAAACAGCTCTTGGAAATAGTAATTTAAATAAGTACTTTACTGAATTAATTAATGCTTTAGGATTAAAAGAAGTTAAAGCCCCAGAACAAATTTGTACTGCTGCACCTTTACCAAGTCGTCTTACTGTGAGTCAAAGACCAGAACCACAAGATTCTAAAGAAATGGGATTGTGTGTAGCTGATTGTTTAGCTAACGCAGGATTTGGTTATGATTCATTGATTCATGCTAATAATGGAGAATATGTCACCACAGGACGAAGTGAAAGACAAGTAGCAGCAGCTTCGGGAATGGGATTAATTCATTTATGGAGACCAGAAGATGTTGAACAATTTACTTCATTTATTGGATCTGACTCAATGTATGTTAGAGCTGGTGCATTATTAGGTATTGGAACATGTTGTAGTGGTGTACAAAGTGATGTTGATTTTGCACAAGTCTTTTTAAGTGATAAATTAGGGGCTGAAACATCTGCCATTGAACGTAAGCTTAGTATTTTTGGATTAGGACTTGCGTATGCTGGAACACGTAAGATAGAAATGAAAGAAACTTTAATTGCAGTATTAAATGATATTAATGCAGTTGGATTTGAAACTGTAGGACATGCTGCTTTATCATTAGGATTAATATTTGAAGGAACTATGGATGGAGATATTGCTGACCAAATACTTTCAATTATCTTTTCTAATGATGGAAATGATGACTTCTTAAAAAGTATTTCATGTAAGATGCTAGTTATTGGATTAGGACTTTTGCATTTATGTTGTGGTGAAAGTGCATCACTAGTAATGGATACTGTAAGAGCATTACCATCTCCAGTAAACCAATACGCGATGTTAGTTGTTTCTTCTTGTGCATTTGCAGGAACATCAAATATTTTAAAAGTTCAACAATTAATGGAGGCATGTGGTAAACATGATGAAGATGATGAAACAAAAGCTTGTGGAGTTGCTGTTATTGGAGTTGCTTTAGCCTTAATGTCTGATGAATTTTCTACTGAATTATCAACTCGATTAATTAATGAAGTTCAAAGATATGGAGAACCATCAGTTAAAAGATATGTTCCATTTGCATTAGCATTAACATCTATTGGAAAACCAAAAGTAGGATTACTTGAACAATTAACAAGACTAGCTCATGGATCTGATTTAGTTGCTGCAAGAAATGCTATACTTTCTATTGGACTTGTTTCAGCTGGAACTCAAGCAACACGGGCAATAAGTTTATTAGACCAACTTGCCGCATTCTTTGTAAATGACTATCAATCATTGTATTGTGTTAAAGTTGCACAAGGATTAGTTCATTTAGGAAAAGGAACAATTGGAATTAGTCCTATGTATTCAGATAGATTTATTATGGATCCTATTGCGTTGGCAGGAATTTTAATATTCATTTTTATTGGAGGGGAAGGAATGGAACGTATTTCTGGATTAAATACATATATCATAAATGCTTTGTGCCTTGCAATGAAACCAAGAATGTTTATGCCAATAGACGAAAATGGTAAAATTGTTGAAACTTCGTGTAGAGTTGGTGTTGCAGTTGATGTTGCAGGACAAGCTGGATCACCTAAAACTATCACTGGATTCCAAACACATAATACACCAGTTCTTATTGGTGTAGGAGAAAGAGCAGAATTAGCTGTTGATGATTATTCTTCATTATCGAGTGTATTGGAAGGAATAGTTTTAGTTAAGCATAACTAGAAAATGAATTAAAAAAAATAAAATTTTTAGTTTCATTTTTGAAAAAAGTTTATGAAAAAAGAACTGAGAATGAAGTAATGGAAAAGTCAAGGATTTTTGGTATTTGTTTTGGTATTTTTTTAATCATTTCAGGTATAAGTGTTGAAATAGTCTCTGGATTTGGAGGGTTTAATAAGATAACAGATTCCAAAAAGTCAATGATAAAATATAGTAAAACATTTTTTAGAGGGTTTAATTATGCTATTGGAGCATCTTTGTTTATTTGTGGTATTTTATTAATTATTACAAGTAGTTTAATGAATGGATTTCTCATTAACGGAGGTGGAATAATAAATTTAATGTTATTAATATTTATTATTGGATCAATCTCTTATTTTTCATATGACTTAAGACAACTTTTTACTATGGATGAGGAGAAAGCAAGAATATTTCAAATTCCTGTTTGTGTTTATTAGTTACTCATTTTTTAATACTTTAAATTAAGAGTAATTATTATTTAGTATGATTGTTGTGGTTGGAAATTAATTAACACTAGTTCGCTTACTAATTCTACTTGTCTAAGTCCTATTGGAATTAAAACTGAAAAAACTTGTTTTCAAGTTTTAAAAGATATAGAATATGCTGATTATCAAGAAATAGTTGTTATGATGTATTCTATTGTATTAATTCTTATTAGTGAAAGTTCATATAGATTACTTAATGAAACTCTTCAACAACAAAATACAAATCAAGAAGTTTCTATTCTCCCAAGAATGACAGAAGAAATAAATGATAGTAATGAGGAATTTATTAATGACTTAAATGACAATCTTAATTCTCCATTATTAACAAATTCTCAAGATGGAATTACTCAAAGAACTAGTGAATCTACAACTACAAATTCTGAGGATTATTTAGTTTAATTTATTGTTACATCTTTCATTTAAAATATAAAAGTCATTTTATTCTTTTTACTATTGGATTGAAATTTTGAAATACTTCTCCTTCTAAAGATAGTTTTAATATTAAAAAAAATAAGTTATTTCTTTGATGTTTTTGTAGATAAAATTCATTTTAAGTTTATTATTCATAATATAACTAAGTTACCAAAATTAATATTAATAGTCAGAAAGTTATGAACCATTTTTTATTATTATAACCTAGTATTCTTTACCCAAGAAGGCGATATTACTTTATAAGTAATAAACAAATGAATAATAAGTTATTGTTAGAATTCTTTACATAAAAGTTGTGTTTATTATACCTTTATGTTTAATTATTTTCTTTCATACTAATTATTTTTAAAAATTTATTTTTGAGAAAATAATTTTAAATATTTTAATAAACAATAAAGAAGAAAATGAGTTGTTAATTTAAATTTATCATTGTTTTGTTTGTATTTTATCAAATTATTTTAATTTTTATTGGTTAGTATTGAAATAAATCGTTTTATTTATGACAATATTTTATAATGTTATAATAATAAATAATAGTATAATTGAAAAATATTTAAAAAAAAACTATAATTTTTCAAGTTTTTAAACCCAGTAATATATTTTTAATTTATTTACTATTTCATCTAAATGTTCATCTTTTTTCAAATTAACTCAATTTTAATTTCTTTTAATTTCCGTTTAAATTTTATTAAGTAAAAAAAGAAAAATAATCAAATTCTTGAACAGATAATGTTTTAAAAATTTTAATATTTTTTCTGATAGGATAATAATGTTATAATAATACAATAAAACATTTTATTTATTCTTTTTAATTTTAAATAAAAAAAAAGAAACTAAATCTTAAATGATAAAGTTGTAGTATTTTAAATTAGAAAAAATAGTTTTATCAAAATAATTAAAACAAATAAAAATAGTTTTATATTATTTTATTATTTATTTTCTATAAAATAATTTTTATTTTATAAATATTTTATTAAAATTTAGTTCCAAACAAATGAATTATCATTTACTTCTTCTTTAAAATTTTTACTACTTTCTTTTCAGATTTTTTAGCAACGGTTTTTGCTTTCTTTTTATTCATTTGTTTAGTAACTTTAGCGGTTGCTATTTTTTTGGCAACTGAACCAACTTTCTTTTGTAATTTGGCGATTTGTTTTTCTGCTTTTTTAACGTAATGGTGTCTTTTAGATTTTTGGTGTTTAATTTCGTTCTTAGCAACTGAGATTTTTGCCTTTAAGTCACACATCTTTTTACTCAATTTTTTTAATTTTAATTTGAGTGCTTTTACTTTATAACAACTACACTTCTTTGAAGTTGTAGATGAAGTTGATGCTTTATAAGTATTCTTTCTTATCTTTCTTTCAACTTTCTTTTCAGATCTCTTAATTTTTTTAATTTGTCTAAAAGCTCTCTTTGGTGAAACTTTTCCTTTGATTACTTTTTTTAATTGTTTAAGTGCTTTTCTAGCTTGTCTTTTTTGTTTTGGGCTAATTTTTTTTTTAAGAATTCTTTTGACTCTTCTTAATAAAGATCTTGCTTTTCTTTGTGCTTTCTTTGTGCTATATCTTCTATTTGGTCTTCTTCTATTATTTACTCTCTTTTTAATTCTTCTATTAGCTCTTCTTTTAATATTTGATTTTTTACCTACTCTTCTTCTATTTACCTTTCTTCTAGTGTTTCTTCTTTTGTGTCTTCTGTTATTTCTTGTTCTATGCTTTCTGTTATTTTTCTTAAAATGTTTTCTATGACTTCTTCTACGGTAATGTCTACGTGGTCTCCTGTGATGTCTTCTAAACCATTTTCTCCATGACCTTCTTCTTCTTCTACGTCTTCTTCGTTCTTCGTCATCATCGTCCTCCAAATCAAATTCACTATCACCTTCTTCTTCATTTTCATCTCCTTCATCAAGGTCTTCATCTTCCAACTCATCATCATCCTCTTCTAATTCGTCTTCTAATTCATATTCATCATCATCTCCAAAATCTAATTCATCAAGGTCATCATTTTCTAAGTCAAAGTCTTCTTCAATACTGAATTCATCTTCAGCTAATGTAAAAACACTAAGTAATAGTATTGCCAATAACAGTTTCATATATTATGAATTTTTAGTTCAAATCTCTTTTTATAAATGTATTTAAAAGGTTGATTTTTGGTTTTTTTTTTCTTCTCAGATATATTAAAAATATTTAATTTTTTATATAAAATACATTCAAATTATCTAAGATATCTTACTTTAATACAATCTCCAAAGTCCATTTCATTTTATAGTTCTTATCTTGTTATCTTCCAGAATAAAAAATAGGATGAAAAGGCATATTGTCTTAAGTACAAATCTTCAGGAATAGAAAAGAGAATAAAAATGAGTGTCACTCTTTCTTCTACTGAAAATGACACAACAGATAATAATAGTGTGGTTGAATTGGTTTGTTTCTTAGTACCTCAAATCCCTTAAAAGAATTAAAAATCTAATTTATAGAATTTATTCAAAACGACTGGAGGGATTAAACAGAATAGAAAAAGGCGAGAGACATGGACTGATGAAGAAAGGTCTAAATTTGAAGAAGCATTTAATAAATATGGAAGGGACTATGCTAAAATATCTGCTTTTATTGGTTCAAAAACCATTTATCAAGTCCGTAGTCATGCGCAAAAGTTCTTCAAAAAGAAAGGAATAACACTAAAAATGGCAGGAGAAAGAACAAACCATCCTTTCATTAATGTTCCAAATGAGGAGGACCACCAAAAAAAGAATGACGTTATTAACAAAATCAACCACATTTTATCTCAAACATATTGTCAGTATGAGTTTACAAAACAAGCCGAGATGAATTCATACATTAACATATTACAACGGTGTTTTGGACAAAATAAAAATCACTCTTTCCTTGTAGTCACAAAGAGTAACCCCCCACGAACAAGACAACCACCATCTAAAGAAAAAACTGCTCTCAATCCATTTTTCAATCAAGCATTGATTTGATAATTTTTTGATAGGTGTTTTGTAAAAAAATAATAATTTAAAGATAATTTATCATTAGAGTTTGAAGTCTTACAAACACCAAAAAGTGAAAATAAGGTTACAGAGACAAATCAAATTGAGAATCACAATCGTCTTACAATGGAAGGCTCAGGAAAAAAGGTGGCTTGGTCATATGAGAGACTCTTCAAGAATCTAAAAACTAATAATAAACCACATAACCTATTGAAATCAATACGACCTCAAGAAGAAGTATTAATAATTTCAAGAATTCAAAAGAAAATAGTAGTTAAATTATGATATAAGACGTTAAACGTTCAAAACACAAATTGCTAATGTCAGTTCATCACTTTTTCTAATTTATACTTAAAAATAATTAAATAAACTCATTTCAAGAAAAGCAAATACTTTAATATTTAGTAATATCATTTTCAATTCTTTATTAGAAGAAATAGGATTCTGTTCTAAACAAAAACATTAATGCACACTGAACTAAGACCTTCTGAATGTATTGTTGTTAAAAAACATAAGACAATAAAAAAGATGAGATTCTTTTTTAATATAAAACAGATATTAAATTATATTATCTTAGTATTGAACAATGTGTTTACTAATTGTAAAGAAAAACAAACAATATATAGATATTAAAGAACATATAAATAAATGATAAAGTAGTAACAAATGTATAATAAGAAAGGAATAGAAAAAGGGATTAAAAGAGAATAAGAATAAGAATATAAAATGGAGTGAACAGAAAGATAATATAGATAACACAAATAAGAAATAAAAAACATTAACAAAGAAAATAAAAAGAAATAAAAGAAAACAAAATAAGAGATAAAGAAAAATAATAATTAGAAGAAAAGTATATTCAAAATAAAATAAAATGAATATAGAGAAAGTTAAAGAAAGAAATCAAGTAAAGAACAAAAAAAGATAATAAAGAAAAGAAAGAAGTAAACAAAAGGTATAAAAAATAAAGAACAATAAATAAGAAAGATACAAAAAAGAATAAATAAAGAATGAATGATGTTTTACAATAAAATTAATAAATAAGAATTGAAAAAGAAATTAAAAATAAAAAAATAGAAAATAAAAATGAATAATAAAATAAAATATAATAAATATTAATTAATTATAATCTAATTAATGACACTCACTTGTTTATTCATGTTTTCATTATTTTGAGAAGTTACAATAATATAACTGTTATTAGTTTCATAATTTTTCTATATTATAAATTATTTTATTATGTATTTGGTTGTAATTTTGCATCCTCAAAATACCATTATTATATAAATAATACATATTATTTTTCTTTTATTTTTAATGTTCTTATTATTGTTATTACAATATATCATTTTCTATTTCTTTCTATTTTTATTGGTAACTTTTGAATAATTCATACAATGTTATCTTATGAGAATGA